ATCAACACTCCTGAGTCTCATCTATGCTTGTGATGATTGATCTTCCTCCTGCCTCTGTCTAACTTCCTGCTAGCTTATACTTCCAGTAATCTTTGGGTGAAAATTTTGTTCCTTTTCTACAGCACATTGTTTATTCAGCCCTATTTTGTACTAGAACGTCATGGGTGTTGTTGAGTTAGGTCCAGTGCAGTTGAGATGTGCATAATGTACAAGGGTTTTGTGCCAGCAGAGTGTTATCATTTTACCTGGCACTTGGTGAAAGCTCATGTTTCCTGGACACATAGGCAGACTTCTTGGTGTTGTTTCCTGAAACACCCATCGCTGCAAAGGAGCCCTTTGAACCTGGTGAAAATGCTGAGTAGATACAGATACTACTTTTTTTTTTTTTCTTTTTTAAGCAGTCCGACCTGACAGGTTTATCTAATGATGGTTTTGTCCCCTTTTCCTGGAAGCATTTAGCATACCATTACTTTTTTCCCCAACTGCCTTTTGAATTGTAGTTAATCTCTCCTTGTTATTGCCTCAAGTCTCAAATAAAATGCAATTCAGCCCTTTTCCAAAGGCTTTTTAAAATTATTTTTTCCTTTATTGTGTGTGGTTTCCTTTGGACAGTGCTTGTCTGACAGGTATATGCAGTAAAACAGTGTGGAAAGCTGACACAGACTAAGTCATTGCCTAACTTAGAAATTTAACAAGGAAGCTGTCCCCTTTTTGAAGTACTTCTAGATGGTGTTCTCTGTGTTGGAACTGGGATTAGCAAGTTTCTGTGTTGTGTTCTCAGATAATTTACTGTCGTGTTTAAAACATAAAAAATGCTCGATGTCAATAATTGTCAGTGATCACAATTATTCCAGTTAAAAGGAAATAAATAAGCTCAAGTTCTGAAGGTATCATAAGACAAATACTTTAATTTTCATCTCTTGAGTTTTAAGATGTGCATTTATAGATTCAGTTCTAGGGAGCCAGGAGGGATGTTTCCAAATGCTGTTCTGTACCAGACAGAAACATCAAACTGTAATCCCTTCCCTGTACTTACCCTTGTATACATGTGTGTGATGTAGTATGTATTTTAAAGAAAGATTAAAGGGAGAGAGCGCCTGTTCCACTCTGAACCCTGTTTAATTTTGGACGGGAAAAAATGGCACAGAACTAGTCTGTATGATTTAATGGAAGGTATAAGTTTGTATACATTGTATCATGATTTTCTTCATTATTGAGATTTTTTTTTTTTGACTCAGATGAAATCTAGACAGGTGCTTTTGCAAGACTGGTGCTATTTTAATTTGAACAATCTTGAGAGAGCAACATATGCTGTATGGTTTTCCTTTTGAAAAGCTTCCTCTGATTAAATAGCCAGTAGAAATGAGGAGGGGTGAAAGCGTGTTACAGGCATTTT